TTTGGGGGGGGGGGGGGTAGCAGTGTTTCATTATACAACTATCTCCAATGAATTTTGAAGACAATAGTCAGGCTGTTCTGAATTTTTTGCGTGTTCGCATTATTGAAAGGTGAACACCGTCTGCCAATTTCCTCTCCCTTACTGGCATGCTCAATTGGTACATCCAAATGTCTCTTGCCACGGATTTGTTTTCACTTAAGTGTCCACTGTCTCTTCTGTTAAAGGTGTACTGAGGGAAATTGACCCAAAGGACTAGACGGGTGCAACACAACATTCGATTTGGTCTCTGGCCATTGCTTCTAAGTTATGGAGAGGCAGAAAACTTGAATGCTACAGCAAGAATTTGGATAGGTGAATAAATACAGCACCAAGAATAAGTGCCAAACCTAGGCTTCAGCAATAGGACTGTGTTTGTATACATGATATATAATATATATGGAGCTAACAATACCTCTTTTGTATACTTTGCATCTATTTGATGCCAGTAAAGAAACAACTCACTTCATCATATATATATATATATATATATATATATATATATATATATATATATATATATATATATATATATATATATATATATATATATACACATACATGATGATAATTCTCCTAAGTCTGTACTCGTTGTCCCGCAGGAGTAGTGGTCAAGGGGAGCACAACAACTCCCACCAAGTGGGGTTTGGGGGAGTATAGTGTGACCTTGCTCCTACCTGTGAAGGTAGAGACAAGGGGAGCACATATAATTAAAATTTAAAAAAATATATATTTCTACCAATTCTGCACTCATTGCCACACAGGAATAGCGAATGCAGAGGAACTTCACATCGACCAAGTAAAGATTCTAAATCTGGCTCTGCCAACAACTGTGTCTCTCTAGCATGCCCACTCTCTTTTCCTAAAATTAACTGTGAGCTTTCCCACAAAAGATCTTACGAACTAAACATCACTTCTTTTTCTTTGTTTTTTTTCTTTTTTGGCCAAATCCAATTCCATACCTGGTAAGCCCACTAAGGGTGTTAAATTGCTACCTATGTAAAGGTTCTTAAAAGTGAAGTAATCTAGACAGTCCACCACACTCCCTCTGTGGTAATTATGAGTTGAATATCAGAACTACTAGAATGACTTGAACCCCATAATAGGAAAAACATCCAGGTCCCGGAGGTTCAAAATTTCCTACTTCAGTATATGCACTAATAGACTCTTGTGGACCTTTCCCGGACCCGCGCATAGCGGAAGCTTAGTGCATTGTGCTGCCCTTTAGTATAATGCACTAATAGCTGTAATAGTCGTTGCATAAGCTAAGTATACATCAATTGACAGTCATCAATCAATCAACTATACCTCAATCCCAAACTAGTTAGGGACAGTTAAACCAATCATCCACATTTTTTTATGACGGTAGTGTCCGATGTGCCTCGACTATCCCCGTGTATCTGCTACCTCCAACCAGCATAGGTATTTGAACCTGATACCTCATGGTTCTCCTCCCACTTCATTTATATCTGGTCCGCTCAATTGGAACTCATCTTATTCCATTACTAAAAATATAAAAGGGTTTTCACACAGGCGGGCCTATCTAACCTAAGCAAAGATGGAAGCTAGTGCAAGTGTAACAAAAAAAAAATTAATTTCAACTAGTTTGTACCAACTACAATCTTTATAGACGCAAAAGAAAAGAAAAAGACAAACTTATTGGTAAAAGTTCGAAATGGCAAAAGTGAAATTTGCAGAAAAAGATACCCGTATCGACGAAAACGCTCTCTTGTACTGAGATTTTCAGGGTCAAAATAGCTGGGAGATGTGCCCTCGTCAATCTCCATCTTCAGAATACCCAAAAGATTAGACGGGACAGAAACGCCCAAAGCTAAAGCCCTGCAGGTTTAAGAGCGGGAAGGGTTTTAAGAAAGCTCTAATGTCGTCTGCGCTACAGTGTAAGTAGTGTACTCCGTGTAAGAGGTTGGATAAAATGACAAAAAAGTCTCTTATGTTTGGAGTAGTTCTAAATTAGTCCCAGAAATATACTCTTTGAGCTATTTTAGTCTTTTAAGCTTGTCGAAAGATAGTACTACTACTTTTGATCCTTGTCAAGTATTCAACAAACTGTACTTGTTAGATTTAATGGGAATAGTAAAAAAAAACACAATGGGAACTCGAATTTGGCTCTGCGCGTGTATTCTATATTCGTGAATATACGATTTTGAGAAAATTTCTTTGTATCTTTCTTATATATACTACATGCTGTGTTTAAATAGTAAAATAAAAATTAGAAAAAGTAATCTGCTATCACATAAGTCCTCAAATGCCTTCCTCCGCCAATGTTGAATTAATATTTTACAAGAAGTAATGTATAAAAATTATAGGGAGCTGCCATTCTTTTATAATGAATTAAGAAAAAATATAACTCATTTAGAATACGTTTTGTCTTCTAATGTTTTATCCTTATCGTTTCAAGTTTGCTCTATCTCTAATTTCTCTTTTCGCCAATATTTTTCTTATAAAAATAAATTTATGTACCATATGAGTTTTATCAACTTGAAAAATAAATTTTCGTATATGAATAGTTTTAAAAGAAGTGAAATGAATTTATTTAGCTTTTTTTTTTGGTTGAAATGAATTTATTTTGCTATTAGTTCTAAAAACTTAATTATTTATTTAAAAATCGTTTATTTTATTCATATTTTAGTATGAAATCGTCTAAAATTTTACATTTAACTGTAGTTATAATTTTATTCAATAAAAAGCTATTTTTAAAGGGTAAAACATCCAGCTAATACTTTACTTTGGATCGTTACATTTGCAGAATTATTGGTGTTATTGACTCTTGTCGACTACGTCTCTTTATTTCTCGTTTAAACTCTGAAATTTTTTACTATAAGTTCAAGATTATTAATGATAATAAATTATCATGTAACTTAAAAGTTATGTTAGTTAATTATCTTTTTTGACGAATCTTCTTATTCACTAATTTCTTTCATGGGTTGGGAAGATTTAAAGACTTTGAGGTTTAATCTTTACATCACCAAAATTAGGGAGTATACCAACTTATCATCACCAAACATTGTAAATAGGTGAAATACATAAACGCCCCTTCAAGTTGTCCTCAACGACCAGCTAAACACCTAAACCGAGCCTATTTTATTAGACACTTCAAGTGGCAATTAAGTAGGTCAAGTAAACACCCGACCATATCAGCCTCCATTCCGTAAAATCCACTCTCTAGGACGCGAGTTGCCAACCTAAAATTAGGTTATTTCTTTTTTTTTTTTACTAAAATAATGTGGACCCCACCTAATTTTCATACCCCCTTCTCCTCCAATTCTCTCCTCCACCATTCAACAACCTCCTCAACCCTAAATTCCTCCATTACAACCAATCTGAAATGCGTAACATAAACTTCCAAACAAATAAAATTTTACACTATCCTCTGAATACTAAAATGACAATGTTGTTTAACGTATAAGTATAATCAATAAACAGTGAATGATCGCCCACACTTGGTAGATGTATAATATAGGAAGGCTGCCGGAAATTTTTATCAGACACAACAACCACTTTCAAACACAAACAACCGGAAAAAATATCCATCCAATTATCAGACACAACAACCAATTTCGACATAACGAAAAAAGGCTGCCGAATTTTTTTAACCTATCTGGTTCTTCTTACTCTCTCTCGTCAAAAAAATGGAGTTTCCTCTTCTGCTCTTCTTTATCGTCATATTCAGACACCAATGGCATGCCATTTTGCGAAAAGAATTTATTGCTCCGAAGACGGCGATTGGTGGCGATGCGGCAGAAATGGAGGAGCCGACGGCTGCTATGTAAAATGAAAGAGGAGATGATAAAGAAGTTTCTTTAAATGTATATTTTTTGTTAATTACATGTGTCAAATTTTTATGGCAAAATTACACGTGTCATTTTCTGATTTGTCCATTTGACATGTCATCGGCAAGTGCAATTCACGCATATGGTCTGCTGTACTCAGGTTTTTAAATGACCTACTTAATTGCCACTTGAAGTGTCTACTTGAAAATAGGCTCAGTTGAGGTGTTCAGCTAGTCGTTGAGGACATCTTGAAGGGCCGTTTATGTATTTCGCCTTGTAAATAACATTCATAGGCATTATGAAATTAGAAGAGGGAGAGAAAATCGAGTGGTTGGAATAAATGGGAAAACTTGGCAAGTAGTATATTTTAAAAATATTTATAAAGTTCAAAATATTGGGCTAGGAATTTATATAACATGGAAAAATAGATACTCTTTTGAGGTTGACACGAAGAAACTCATTCTTGGGCTTTTGACTCCCTCACAAATTTATGAAGATGAAAAGATCGTAAAGAGAATATGGAAAAATATGAGAGAGAAAATAATGAGAGGAGTAAGGGAGTGCATGTCGATATCCCAAGAGAGGAAAAAGGAGAGGTTGTGTTGAGTGAAGAGAATGTGGGATGTCAAGTGAGAAAAAGAGTTAGCTTGAGGAAAAGAAACGAGATAACAAAAGTATGTAAGGTAGAGAGGGAAAAACAGGAGGATTTGAGTGAAGAAAAAAAGGAAAACTTTAGTGAGAGAAAAGAGGTTAAGGGTGAGTAAAAAGTTAGTTTGGAGATAAAAACCAAAGAGAATGTAAGTAAGAAACATGCTCTTTACTTCCTAACCCATTAGTTCTTGTGATTTGTGCAGCCAAGTGTTGACATACCTTTTGAAATGGGAGATAAAGTGCAAGAGATGGTGGCAAAAGATCCAATTGGATTCCAACATGAATTTGGCGATATCTATTCTTGTTGGATAGTGGAAGATAAAAGCTTGGTTAATTTCTTTGTTGTTGAATCTTTTTACTCTTTTGATCCTTATTTATAGGTTTATAACATGTAGTTCCCCAAAGACATTGTTAAGTTAGAGCCATTGCATCAAAGAATAAAATGTGATGTTGTTCCCTTAGTAAATAAGTCCAAGTATGACATGGATGATTATATGTTCGAACTTGATGGAAAGAGGCTTAAAATTTATGAGAAGAGACTTGAAAAATGAGTTTTCATGTGATAAATTGCTAGAATGTGAGTTTTGTTTTGTGATAGGAAGTCATTCTTCCAATCATGTTGATTGTGAGCATGTAAAAGTATTTGATAGTAGTAAAGAGGCTATGCATGAATATTGTGACGTCAGTGATCAAATACTATTTCATGGGCTTATCTATGACTCTTTAATGTGGCACTTTGAGCAATTGTTTAGAATCCTTTGATGTTGAGAATATTAATTGGAAAGTTATAATCATGAGCTTGAACGTATTGAAACTTTTATTTTGCGAATTATGGATTCCTTTAACTTTCTTGTGAATTTATGTGCTTCTTTGAATAGCTTACATGTATAAGAATCCATGAGATTTGAAATTGATACTTGACTATATCATAAAAGTGTCTTATTTGATGCATGTGGTAGAGATACTTGTTTTAAATGGATACATGATCAATGCACATTTTTTGACATCCATATGCTTTATTAAGGGGTATTTACACCTATTGGGCTTAATTGGGTTAAGTGAACACATGGTCACTATCTTGTTTTATTCTTACCGTTTTTTCAGAAAAGGGGAATGATAGCATCGTACGAAGCTCAAATCTATTCAAGGACAAGGATGCAGATTTGGAATTTCAAAGAGGGCCTAAAACAAGCTCACAAGACAAGGATGTAGTTTAGGACTTTATTTTCAAATTTTTTTGGGTACAATTTCGTGACGCTCTATAAAGGGGTGTCTTCTTTTTTTTTAGAGTTAGGTTATTCAGATTATTATCAATAAAAATTGTGAGATTTTTCTTGCACTCTTGTGTGTGGCAACTCTTGAATTTAATCTTCATCCTTCAAGACTCAACTTAAGGTGGTAAGATAGATTCTTCGAAATCGTAGATCACTTATTCAAGAAAGGTGATACATTTAGGCTTATTGCTGTTCTTGTTATTCTAAAGGGTCGGGTTTCACAATCTTACTCTTGTTTTTGACCTCTACCAAAGGCGATTAGTTCTTCGTTAGCTAGTTGTTGTTGTTAGTATTAATCTTCAAAAATAGACTTCTTGAACCCAAGAAACTCTTTCGTGAATTCATTCTATCTTTAATTTCCGCCTTTTTTTCGTTTCATTCGTTTAGCTTCCGCACGTTTCTTGATTTTGTTTAGTAGTTCTTGGACACCTATCGTGTTGTTATCAAATGTGTTAGTTCAAGGCTTTCCTTACCCTTAGCAACCTTTTGTTGAACCTTCACAAAATAATCAATAAAGTTAGGTTCTTCTTGCTCAAAATGATCAATCAAGCCACCAAAAGAAACATTCTTACCTTTACTCAAGCATTAGCAAAATCTAACGAGAATGTTCTTTCAAAAGTAGGAATAAGATGAGTAAAGCATTTAATATTAGTGCATCAAAAACTTTACTTTTCCTTTTACTATCAACCAAATCATCATATTCGAATTTGCCCATTTCATCATAAAATTTGAAACTTTCTTCCAAAGGAATGGAAATAGAATAAAAAAAAATTCATCAGCACATTCTTCTTGACTCGTTTCTTCATAAAGTTCAAAACTTTCTTCCAACAAAGTTAAAGTAGAGTCAAAAGAATCGTCACATACATCATCCCATATAGGTGAACTATCATAAGAAATCAAACGCCTTTACTTAATAACAAATTAAAAACAATAGATTCGGATCTTGACAGTTTTACGAGTAACTTGAGTCAACAATTAAGAATACCACAATGGAATCAATGATATCACAATAAAGAAGTAATCTTACTACCTTTAACTATATGACTAGTAAACGTTGAAAGAAAATCTCAAAGAATAAGTAACAAAGGTTCAAAAGAACTCTCAAAGTATTAATCAATATTTAAGTACCACAATGAATGAAAAGAACTCCTACTTGTAGGAGAAAAAAATCCT